TTCAAACCTTATGTTCCAGAGGTGACAATCAAGTACTGGCTGAGTGATGGTTCAGGTGACCTAATAAGTTTGGTTTCCCTCTAATTTCTATGATCCTTCTGCAAAAATCTTTGGTGTTGATGTGGCTGCTGAGGTTTGTCACGAAGTTTTAGAGATGAAGCATTTGTAATCTCCCCATAGTGTATGTTGTGGTGCTGAAAACTGTAAGAGGGCAGTATAAACCATCCCTTCTTGGCCCATTGGCCAACTTGCCCTCTTCATTGGATATAGAAGTCCCTCCAGAGGCAGCCCAGAGGAATAACAAGGACAAGCAATTGGAGGCAAGGAAAATGCTTGAATTCTAATTCTGCCTCTGATACAGCCTTCCTCTGCAGTCTGGGGCAAGTCACTTAAATTCTCAACTTCAGCTCCCTCATCCTTAAAAGGGGGATAATCACTTGCCTCACAGGAACACTGTAAACACCAATTAGTAGCTTGTGAAGAGAAGATGAAACACATTGTAGAAAAATTCAGTATTAACACTCTGGAGTTATACTATTTTCCCTGGATTTGTCGTTAGTTGCTTCCCCCCAACCTTTCTTCAATATCACAAAAGTTGGTGTTCGCTTTTCCAAAAGGGGAATGTTATGTTTCTGACACAAAAATGGAAAGTTTCCTATTGAGCCAGAGAGGCTTTCCTATTTTTTCTACTGAGTTTTCCTATTGAGCCGGGAGGCTTGCACAGGAGTGACTCATCACCTTACCACCAGGAAGCTTGTGGCACAACTAGGAACAGAGCCCAGATCTCCTGTTCTTTAATTACAGGATCATTCTTTCCTCTCTTGATTGCAATAATCAATTTCAAACTTGTACAAACTTGTTGGGTAACATTTTCAAAAGCACCTAAGTGGCTTTGAAGCCTAAGTCCCATTTTTAAGTCAGTTAGGCACTTAGGAGCCAACGTCTTATGAATTTAGGCTCCTAAATCACTTAGGTGATTTTGAAATTTTCATCTATATTAACCCATGTACTTACCCATAAATATCTCTATAAAGCACACACAGGTTTTTTATTTAAAAAATAAAGCACTGCTGAGAGGGACGAATGTTACTGGCCACCTACTGTAGCCACCTGTTACGGCATTAAGGACTACACATTAGCCCTCACCAATTCTGGTTTAGATTATACTCATCCCACCACCAATGCTTTTAATGAAACTTTGGCAACAGGAAGCTACTATAATTTGACATACACAGTTGATTGTAAATCACGAGCTGTGTCCCAGAACATACAGTTATGGATTTGGTACCAGAACCACATTACAGCAAAGCCTTTCTTAAGTGACCATTCCAGAGACAAAAAAATTGGTCACTTAATGGAAGTAGTCTTCTAAAACAGGTGAGGCAGAAGGTATTGTGGGTAGTTTTTGGGCAATCTCTTAAGACAAGAGGTTGCTTTATTAGGGTGGCTTCCTTCCTGTACTGGTTTCATAGTATTATTATTACTTGTAGGGCACCAAAGTTACCAAGGGAATCAGTGTCAAGCTCAAACTCCTCCTGACTCCAGCCCTGTGCACTAATCACCCAGCACAAGCAGTCTCCCTAATTTGTTTGGATACCTGTGTGTTTTTTCAGGTTGGAGTTGCGTTTAATGAAAGTTTAGTTCACGGATCTTCATTAAGATCACAAGAGGCGAAAAAAAAAACCCCTTAGAATAATTTAAAACTGGGACTCTTTCCAGAGCTGCTTTTTCCATTGCCAAGAATGAAGCAAACAGTCTTTGACTCCTCAAACTCCTTAAATGTCAGAACCCCTACTCGGTTCAGTTATACTCACAGCTGAAGTTTGAGTCTGACATTTTCAGCAGTGCAGGATAAGAGTTTAGGAGCCAGATTCATCAAAGGGGGAATGGGGAGATTTAAAAAAAAAATTTTATCCAGATGTTAATGAAAAAATGCCATTGCTATTTATAAAAACATGTGCAGCTCGTATATCCAGCTACAGACTGTAGGCTAAGATACAGGTTTGAGTCCCTGGAGTCATGGGTTGAATCACAGAAGAATCATCTCTGCTTTGAATCTTGGCAGAGTCAACTCAGTACTTTGTCTTTCTGTAGCAGATAAACCAATGTTGCAGGTTACTGTGCACAGGGCTTTTCAATGAGAGGGCTTAAAAACAAGGTCCTGGCTGTCCTTAATGATCCCATGGCACCTCTGGTATGGTGACCTAGACCAAAATGTCCCCTTCCCCACTGGGGTGTAGTGTGCTATGCACAGTTTTTGGTTGCTGCCTTTCTATCTTAGAGGTGTCAAGTATCAGAGGGGTAGCCATGTTAGTCTGAATCCACAAAAACAACGAGGAGTCTGGTGGCACCTTAAAGACTAACAAATATCTTAGAGGTGGCTGTACTTCAGAGGAGCTGCCTGTATGTAGTTTGTGAAGTGCTCTTTAGATCCTTTGGAGTGCGAGACTGTACATATGAATGTCATGCCTTCTTTACCATGCACATGGATGCTCAGCTGTCCATAAATTTAGAACAATATTACAGTAATATTTCCTTATTCCTTTCATTTCGAATTTTAATGTGTCATTTACTTTTTAAAATTCAAACAGAGACAAGCCTGCCAGCTACCTCTTTAGAGGAATCTGGCTGTAGGTCAGTCCTGGCCCACTCCTGCAGGAGAACACACATTCCAGATCACATCTAAATTCTCTAAACACATTCAGAACCCAAGCAAGTACCTTGGTTAACCAGCTATGTTTTGAGCAAAGAACATACAAGGTGATGTGATTTTTAATCTGTAATCCGATAGGGAAGCAGCTCACACAAAGATCACAGAGCCTCATTATAAATAGCTAAGACAAACAAAACTGATATCTGGCACTAGCCAGATTTATAGCCACTTTATAAATCCTCATTAAGGGAGGGAAAGATTCTGCCCTGCACACTGGAGACGGTGCAGAAAATGGATGTTCTGGGACGGGAGCCCCAAGGAATAATTCTGGCTGACTCAGCTAGAATTCCTCCAGGGTTCTCCCAGAGTGTGCACAGCTGGAGCCACTGTTTCAGTTTGTATGCCTGGAGAGACTGCAGTGTCTTGCCATGTTGCCTGGTGTAGGATAGACAGGGAGAGAAGTCAGGGTCACTCCACTCTGTTCTATATACCAGGTGCCCATAAAAGTGCTAGCAAGGGGCAGCAACTACACTCAACAATGGGATTCTTCCCCTTGAGCCCAAGCAGAAGAAACTCCTTGTGCCCATCCCTGCCTACAGTGTGGATACCCATGCAGGACTGGCAGGAATCTGGCCCCCCAAAACTTCAGCTGGCAAGCCATTTTCTTCAAGCCAGTAGCAATCCTGATGGCAACACATTTCTGACATCCATCATGTCCACTACAGTTCTTAATTCAGCTAGAAGTCTAGTTGAAGCAGTTGGAGAATTTGCAATAGTAATTTTATCTGGGTGTCATCAGCCAGAAAGCATGGCAAACTCAAGCACATTGTAGGAATTCTTCACCCAGCTCTCCCGAAGCATCTCTGGGAGCCCCACTAACCCCACAGCACATTTCCTGCCAATGGTATCATGAAGGAAGAGGCTGGTATGTAGCTTAATAAGGTTTTAGAGTTCAACATTTTCGGTGACTACTGATTTTCAAACCAACATATTCCTCAGAATATAAAATTGCTACTTACATAATAACTACATGAAGTTCAGAGTAACAGGAAAATGAATATGACACATTGCTCGATGTTATTTAATAATTGCACTTGTCTGTCCAATTGTCTTTTAAATGTAATCAGCAATCTGGTTTAGACAACAAAAATAACCATGTACTTAAATGGTCAAGAGGCCTGTATACACAATACATACAGCAGCATAAAACTGCAGAGTGTTCACTCTTCACAGGATACTATACTTGAACATAAGGTATGATTCTACTAACTAAAATTACATCTTACTCACTAGATCCCTGGGATGAAATCCTGGCTCCACTGAAAATCAATGGATATTTTGTCATTCACTTCAGTGGAGCCAGGATTTCATCCCTGGCCTCATACCTGCATTTCTTTAGAGACAATATTAGTTGCCTACTACTTGTTACTCCTTTTAGGACTACAATTATGGGAGAATAACCAGAATAGAATCCTAGTCAATGTCATCAACAGACAGGCTGAGTAAATTCCAACTGCATGGACAATTCTGGCCTCAGACACACCTGAGTAATCACATTACAGACAATGGGTAACTGAGGGTAGAATTTGGGCAGCAGAAGCTTCCTTACAAGTGATATTGCACAAAGTGGAAAAAACCAGACTGGCAGTTTGAAGAAACGTTTTCTTTTACTATAAACTAACCAAATTTGCTCTGGAGCCCTTGAGAGGTAATAAGTCTGAAGCCACACAATGCCATTTGACAGAGTCACTATTCAGAGCAGAAACAAGCTTTTAAAGCATCATACATATGATTCTCTCTCATCTTTTCATACACCTTTACAGAAAACTTGTGCAGCCCATGTATAAACATGTATGCATTTAAAAAGACTGTCTTTATAAATCAATAGCAATATAAAGTAACTATACACCAGGACAGTTTCCAAGTTGTAATCTTCAATAAAATACAAACCGCCTCAACCCTTCAAAAACTGGCCTTTCTAAAACTAATAGCCTAGTGAGCATCTGGAAAGGGTTAATGGGAGAGGGAGGACTGACTTCTGTCTACACATAAACAAGAACAAATATAAGAAGGATTATTTTGCACTCCCCCATCTCTCATTACAACAGTCTTCAAATTAAATTGAAATATAATGTGTCATCAAAATAACAGGCAGATCACCAGTTGGTGTAAATTAGAATATGCTGAATTTTACCAGTTTAGGATCTGGCCTAGCAATTTAATTTGGACCTGTTTGCTTTTGCATTCTCTTTAACGTACTGTGCTGTTTTTATCTGATTTTTTGTACAGCATGCAGAGCACCGTGTAGGTGTTTTATAATATAATTCAATATTTTTTCTGCACTTACCGACAACTGTGAGGTTGACTTGTGCTTGTCTGCTGCCCAATTTGTTTTCTACCACTAAAGTGTAACATCCACAATGTTCCTGCTTCGTTGAGGATATAGTTAGCTTACTACTGTTTTCAGCATTCTCGATTTTGATGTGTTCATTTTCTTGAATCTGCCAAATTAAACAGAAGAATTGTTAAAGAGCTTTCAAAAGAGACGCTCCCAACCTCTCAGTCAGGTAGGAGCCCACAACTACAGCATTAGGAGAGCAATGTAGATAATTCCATTACTGCAGTGAGTAAGAATAGCTTGCAAAGAGTGAAACTGACCAAAAAAGTCAAGAGATGCAGGCCAGTAGTTCAGTGGTCCTAATCCTGCAAAGTATTCCATGAGGACAGATCCTTATAGAATCATAGAATATCAGGGTTGGAAGGGACCTCAGGAGGTCATCTAGTCCAACCCCCTGCTCAAAGCAGGACCAATCCCCAATTAAATCATCCCAGCCAGGGCTTTGTCAAGCCTGACCTTAAAAACTTCTAAGGAAGGAGATTCTACCACCTCCCTAGGTAACGCATTCCAGTGTTTCACCACCCTCCTAGTGAAAAAGTTTTTCCTAATATCCAACCTAAACCTCCCCCACTGCAACTTGAGACCATTACTCCTTGTCCTGTCCTCTTCTACCACTGAGAATAGTCTAGAACCATCCTCTCTGGAACCACCTCTCAGGTAGTTGAAAGCAGCTATCAAATCCCCCCTCATTCTTCTCTTCTGCAGACTAAACAATCCCAGTTCCCTCAGCCTCTCCTCATAGGTCATGTCTTCCAGACCCCTAATCATTTTTGTTGCCCTTCGCTGGACTCTTGCCAATTTATCCACATCCTTCTTGAAGTGTGGGGCCCAAAACTGGACACAGTACTCCAGATGAGGCCTCACCAATGTCGAATAGAGGGGGACGATCACGTCCCTCGATCTGCTCACTATGCCCCTACTTATACATCCCAAAATGCCATTGGCCTTCTTGGCAACAAGGGTACACTGCTGACTCATATCCAGCTTCTCGTCCACTGTCACCCCTAGGTCCTTTTCCGCAGAACTGCTGCCTAACCATTCGGTCCCTAGTCTGTAGCTGTGCATTGGGTTCTTCCGTCCTAAGTGCAGGACCCTGAACTTATCCTTATTGAACCTCATCAGATTTCTTTTGGCCCAATCCTCCAATATAATATAGTATAAGGAGGATTTGGCCCAATCCTCCTTATACTACAGACAGTCCCTTTGAATTAGTGAGATTGCTTGGGTGTTAGGGTCCACCAGCTAAAATCCATTTGCAGGATCAGGGAATGTAGTTGAAAAGTTGTGTCTAACTGGCAAAAGACCACATTCTAGTTAAATTGACATCAGTAGGACTTTTACAACTGACTTCACTAAAACCAAGATTTGGCCCCAAGAACACTGGTTCATTTGCCATTCACTTCTCGAGGCTGAGCTTCAAATTCTGACCCAGATCATCCATGACAGTATCTGATTCTAGTCTCCATGTGTCCACATCAGAGTTGCCACACAAATTATCATAATAGTTTTCCTAGACTGGAACAGCGGATGGTGTTGTTGGTTGGAGTCGAATGGTGCTGGCAGAACTGCGTAGGAAAGTTTACAAAGCACAGGCCTGGCTTTAGTAGGGCAGTCTGACTTTCCTAGAACGCTCTAAAATTAAAAGAACAGAAAAATGCCATAGAAAGTATTTGTTGCCCTTGCAGCTTCCATTTTGATTCTTCTGATACATTCACCTTTGAATTCTTAAAGTTCCCAAACTGAATAGAATAAATAAATCATTCTAATTCAATTGGAGTAGATAGAGATTTTAAGATGGTTTCAGAGAAAACCAAAAGTCAAAATCACAGCTGAACTCCACAAACATGTTAAGTGCCGTACTTGTAAATATAACTCAACTCAACCAAGAAAAGAACCTCAGCATAAATGTCAAAAAGATTTCAGCTTTGATTTGTATTAACTTGAGACATTAAAGAGAATTAAAAAAACCTGGTGCTACATTGTAACTGTAAAAGTAGTACACTGCGTTCTTATTGCGATGCAGACAGCATAATGTCAGTGCCCTTCCTCCTCCCACCGTTTCCTGCCAGATAAGAGATTTTTCAATTTATTCTCTGTGTTTCATTAAAAATGAGGGCTATTTAGTTTAGCTTCTCTTGTCAGACATGTTTACAGAACAAGAAATCATGAGGGCCAGAGCAGGTCTCTCCCCTTAGTTTAGATATAAAGCACGCTTTGGCATCAGCCCACGGAAGTTAACCTGATAACTGCTTCTGCAATACTAGCAATAGAAGTAAGTATTTTGGGAGTAAGTAGTAACACAGTTTAAATTCCATTCAAGGTGTTTTTCTTCCATCAAGCTCGTTACCGCCTCTTAGAGAGGTCGATTGACTACAATGATGGAAAGAACCCTTCTGGCATAGCTGTCGCTGTGCTGCTATGTTTCAGAGTAGCAGCCGTGTTAGTCTGTATTCGCAAAAAGAAGAGGAGTACGTGTGGCACCTTAGAGACTAACCGATTTATTTGAGCATGAGCTTTCGTGAGCTACGGCTCACTTCATCGGATGCATCCCGTGCTATACAAGAGCTATAGCGCTTGTAGCATAGGCATAGCTTGGTATTACAGCTACTCCCGATGAAGTCAGTGGAAGCAGAGGTAGCCAGTGCTGTGCACTCCTGAAAATCCCACCCCAGAGGCTCCATTCACTGGAGTTCAGCTATGCACACACAAGACACTGAACTGTAATTTGCTGAGGTTCCAGTGGGACTGTAGGTAGGTAGCATGATTCTCAAATTTTATTCGAGTGCTTCAGTCCCTGTGAGAACACAATATGCTACCAACAAAACGGTCATACGGACAATTTTTCCCCACCAGTTCTAGTCACTGTGCTACATGCCAGGGTCACTCAGCTGGAAAAGGACCGCAGGCCAATCATTGCTGAGATAAAGGAGAATTAGAGGGACAAGGTGGATGAGGTAATATCTCTTTTTGAACCAACTTCTGTTTGTGAGAGACAAGCTTTCGAGCTTCCACAGAGCTCTTCTTCAGGTCTGGGAAATGTACTCAGTGTCACAGCTAAATAAAAGGTGGAACAGATTGCTTAGTGTAAGTAATTAATGCATATTTCAAGGAACTATCCAAGGTGAAGTGGTCAGTTAACATCTCTGCAGTCCTAAGGAGGAAAGGAGAAAAAATAGGCTGGGGGAGGATTCAGTGAGTTTTAGATTGTTTTAAGAAGCCATAAATCCAGCGTCTCTGTTCAGGCCCTGATTTTTAGTGTCTGGGAAAGCTAGCTCCTAGGCTTGTCTTTTGAAGATGTAGCGCAGGATTCTTTGAGGACACTGAATCTCTTTGAGGCTACTGCAATAAAAATAATATTGATAAAAATGGTCTACTTGTTCCTAAATCAGTCTTAAGGTTGCAGAAATTAAAAGAAGTTTAGAAATGTTTAATTTGGAAAAGAAAAGCCTCAGAGGAGATAACACAGAGGCATATAAAATAATGAATGGTAGAGAGAAAATTATTTGGATGCTACCAGACACCCTTTCCATAAAATAAGAAGAGGGTACTTCAGAATAAAAGGCAACTGGCTTAAAATGTTTAAAAAGGTAGAACTTGCAATAGACTGTGCCATTAATATAGAGCCCCGAATTCCCCTGATGAAATGTTCAACAATCATCTTGACAAACTCAGGTCTATATTCTAAGCTTCCTTGTGGCAGGGACTGTTTTTATCTGTGTACTGTAGAGCGCTGAGCAACTTCATAATCAAATAAATAGTAGCCGCTCCAGCAGATATTTATCTTTGCTCCATGCCAATAAGATACTCCAGCTTCTGCTAGCTGGAGATCATACTGAGCTGCTGAGTTTAAAGTGTCTGAACTTGTTCACTAAAGCCCTTATTCAGGAAATTTTCCCTCTTCAGGAACAGTGCTTAAGTATGTGCTTAAGTCCCAGTGAGGTTTAATTAATTAAAGGGGAAGAAACTGTACAACAATAGATTGTGGGAACATTCATATCCACAACAAACATCTTTAGTGTGGAGATATTTTTGTTGTAAGATGCTCTTTACTCAAGAGTATTTTTCAATGGCATTTGGTTCCATCTGAGAAGCTGAAAACCTGAAGCACCAATGAAGAAAGGGGGATTTCTTGTATCAAGGGCAGGAGAGAAATGTTTCACACAGCAAACTCCTTTCAGATGATGTATCCTTTTAGTTAGACAACGTTTCAGGCATTTCTCAAATTAATCATCATTCATTGTTAAAACACGTCAAAGACAATTTACCTGCTTTCGGAATTTCATCCAGGTGCAAGTTAAAAGTGGCGTTCCTACTACTTTGCAAAACAGTTCCACTGATTCACCAGCACGGACTTTTCTGTCTTCTGGGAACTGAATGATCTGAGGGGGAAGAACTGAGAAAAAACCCCATCTCTTTAGAGAATTATATTTTCTATTTTCCTGAACAGTTGAGTGAGTACATATTTGGGGTCAGGAAGGAATTCCCTCCCCCCCGACCCAGGTCAGATTGGCAGAGCCCCTGGGGGCTTTTTGCTTTCCTCTGCAGCATGGGGCACAGGTCACTTGCTGGTTTGAACTACAGGAAATGGTGGATTCTCTGTAACTTGAAGTCTTTACATCGTAAGTTGAGGACTTCAGTAACTCAGCCAGAGGTTATGGGTCTATTGTAGGAGTGGGTGGGCGAGGTTCTGTTGGTTGCAATGCGCAAAAGGTCAGATTAGATGATCACAATGGTCCCTTCTGGCCTTAAAGTCTGTGAGCTAAAGGAGTAACTGGCAGCAATAGCACATTGTTATCGTCTTGTAGATCAGCCACTAGAAGGAGATAAGACACACACTTTGCCAATGGGTGTCACAGTTATTTTCTGACAGCAGAGGAATGTAGAAATTTGGGACTCCTTGGTTCAATTCCAGATTTTGGAGGGGAAGGGGCTTTAGTGGTTACGGACCTTTCTGGCACTGTACTCCCATCTCCTGCCAATCTTTTCCCCTCGGCTCCTATCCTCTGGCTCCCATCCTCCACCCCCATGCCTCACTTCTTGACTTTTGAATTCAATTGCTTCCTCTTTTGCCTCCTCACTGCCTGGGCACCAGTCAGCACTGCGCTCAGGGCACAGGAGAGATGGTCTTCCTGCTCTGAGTTCTGGTGCCCAGCAGCCCCTGGCTGACCTGTTTTGGATGAAAATTCAGACTGGACCATGGCAAACATCAGCTTCAACAGTTAACGTTTGCCCAAGTTATAAACATCTGAACACAGGGTCCTTTAACAGAAACTGATGAGCAACCTTAAGTATAGGTGGAGCTACTAGAGATGGGGAACATGGTGCTTTTGAAATTCTCCCCCTAGAACATCAAACCTACCATTTAATCAGAAGAAAACATGAAGCAGGCAAACAATTGTTTCATGGTAGGAGTGACCTTTTCTTGGAAATCCTATTGCATTACTGCCTATGCTTACAATGCAACAAAATGCAGCCGTTTACCTGCCTTTGGGGGGGTCTTTGGAGCTGGTTTCTTTTTCACTGTTGCTTCACCTAGTAAAAAATAATAAAAAAATTAAATAGTTCATTAGCAGGTGAGTTTTGGGAGGTACAAATTTAATTATACAAATAGTCACATTCCTGGCAGTATTGTTGTTGAGCTCACTCCAGCACAAAAATCTATGTTACACTTGTATTGCTTCTCGAAAGCACTTTCAAGGAGTCTGACCTGATCCTTAGAATACACACATTTATGGCTGGGATTTTCAAAGGTGCCTAAGGCAGTTTGGCATCCCTGTTCCTATGAGATTTGTGCTCATCTGCGTTGAGTACCCACCATATTTGGTTTTGGCCCAGACTAATGGCTGAGATCCACCACATGCTGGATATCACCACATATTTTCAATATGCAAATTGCTGAATAGTTTAGAGAAAACCCCAACTAAAACTAGGTAATTGATTTTCTATTTCTTATTTGCTCCTCACGTGCTGATAGAGAAATGGCATATACAGGAACGGAACACTAGTATTTTTCATTGCTTTTGTGAATGGAGACAGCTTTTGCCATTTTCCAAGATGCCGGGAATCTCACCATTGTTAAAAATATGGACTGGCATTTTAAACCTAGCTGCCTACATTTAGGTTCCTAAATCCATGTGTATGCTAGACAGGGGCTGCAGCTCTCATTGATTTCAGTAGAAACTGGGGTTTCTCCACATTTTCAAATATTAGACTACATCTGTTTAGGAGCTTAAATACACATACAGCAGCCGAACCTATGTTTGAAACCTTTGGTTCATTATTTATGAAAAATGTGATGGGAGATCAAATTGTAAAAACACATTCTCTCTCTCTCTCATTTAAATCTCCCCTTTAAACAGATACTGAACATTCTGTACCTGCAAGTATTGCCGTCAGTCTTTATAAAAAGCCTTTTTCTTGAAGCTGTGGAACATTTAATTAGAACTGCAGTAGTTTTATTGTTCTGAGCTCTGAAAACAGTAATGCATATAGCAAACAAAATATAGTTTTTACAGCATTTGCTCATGTTACTAATGTAACTCACTGCTCACTCTGTGTTACATATCCATTCTATACCTGGTCCATGTAGGATATGAGTCTTCTACAGCTGCTAAATACAGGGCTGTGATGGGCTGGATCACAGAAACCCCCTGGGAGTTTCCACCTGATGTGCCAAGACTATTTCTGCTCCTGCTTTCCTACCCTGTCAGCTTAGGACTTCAGTGCCCTGCCTGGTTTGAGCCAGACCCACTAGCCTGCTGCAAACCCAGACCCAGGTCTGAATCACATCCCACAAACTGCAAGCTTAACTGAGAGCAGCTTACAGAAGTGTGCCTGTCTTTAACACTCAGATGCCCAATTCCCAATGGGTCCAAACTCTAAATAAATCCGTTTTACCCTGTATATATCTTTTATAAGGTAAACTCATAAATTGTTCGCTCTCTAACACTGATAGAGAGGTATGCACAGCTGTTTGCCCCCCCACCCCCAGGTATTAATACATACTCTGGGTTAATTAATAAGTAAAAAGTGATTTTATTAAATACAGAAAGTTGGATTTAAGAGGTTCCAAGTAGTAACAGACAGAACGAAGTGAATTACCAAGCAAAATAAAATAACAAAAGCAAATCTAAGTCTAATACAATAATAAAACTGAATACAGATAAAAACCTCACCAGTTCCAGTAAGCTTTCTTTTACAGACTAGTCTCCTTCTAGTCTGGGTCCAGCAATCACTCACACCCCCTGTCGATACTGTCCTTTGTTTCAGTTTCTTTCAGGTATCTTTGTGGGTGGAGAGGCTCTCTCTTTAGCCAGCTGAAGACAAAATGGAGGGGTCTCCCAGGAGTTTAAATAGACTTCCTCTTGTGGGTGGAGACTCCCTCCTTTCTCCTATGCAAAGTCCAGCTACAAAATGGAGTTTTGGAGTCACCTGGGCAAGTCACATGTCCATGCATGACTGAGTTCCTTACCAGCCAAGCCACATTCCTGGGAAAGCCTAGATGTGGATTGGCATCTCCAAGTTCATTGTTGGCTTAAGGGCTTCTTGACTGGGCACTTACTGAGAATAGTCTTTTCTCAGGAAGCTGACCAACTGCTTCACTAAAACCTACTCAGAATCAAACAAGTATGCTGCCAATATTCATAACTTCAAATACAAAAATGATAAAAATAGGATTAATAGATTCAGTAGATTACAACCTTTACAGAGATGTGTTATATGGCATATGTAGCATAAAACACATTCTAGTTAGTCATATATACATTCATAAGTATATTTCCATAAAGCTTTATGGGGGGAACACCGTTACACAGGTCTTGGTTTTTTACTCAAATGGTGGAAACTCAGCTTCTAGCTATGGTGTTCCCCAGTTCAATCCCTAGTATTAGCAGAGATGGAAGTTCTCACTTATCACTTTAGATTGTTTCAGTAGAAAGAATTTTATAATTTAGTTTTCAGCATCAATGCTTTTTCTCTTCATTTTTTTGAATATTTTGCAAATTTTGGACAATGAAACTGGTCAATATCACTTTCCGTTTATAAAAAAGTTTAACTTCCCCCTCAAAAATATTATGTTTAATTTTCACATGCACTCCATGTATTGGTTTTGGTTGGGACCAGAAGTACTGTGATACACAGAAAGTCTATTCTCATAATACTCACAGCTGAGTCACAAAACAGGAAGTATTGTATATCCCATAAGAAACCCTGTTCCTTAGAGACTTATTTAGCTGGTTATTGGTTCACTTTGGTATCTACCTTTGGGGTGCTTACCCTAACATAACTGAATCACCAGAGCATTTCATATTCACCCATTTCACTATATACTCCACAAGGACCCACTCCTGTTTAACTGTAGACATGTACAGTATTGTTGTAGCTGTGTCGGTCCCAGGACATTAGAGAGACAAGGCTGAGGGGGTGAGGTAATATCTTACACAGAGCTCGTCTTCAGGTGACCTGTCTCTCTCACCATCAGAACTTGGTCCCATAAAAGATATTACCTCACTCCCTTGTCTCATTAACTGTAGACATATACTTTTAGAAATACAACTCCTTAAAGAGGACTATCACTTTTTGGGTCATCAGCCTAGTTACCTCTGGGTCTTGTACAGCATCAGTGCTCTAAGGATGGTCATTTACCTACATCAGGTAAATACCCTCCAACCCACACCTTTCCCCAAATCTGTATGAGTAAAACAAAAAGAGTGAGATTCTATGTGTAACTGTTCAACTATGTTTGCCATTGGCCTGATTCTGCAATGCTTACCCATGTTGAATAGCCTCTGTTCCCGTGAGCAGTCCCACTATCAATTGCACATACTTATGTGAGTAGATGCTAGTCATTAATGGTTGTGGAATCTTGCCTTCTATTTGTATTGTAAACCCCAAAGTGGTGTTTGATTCTGCCCTCACTGAAGTTAATGCAAGTTTTACAAATGACTTCTAGAGGAGTGGATTGTGTCCTTTGTTATTTGTTTAGCTCAACTCCATTACTGTATAATGCCATGTACATTTATTAAACTATATTGGCTTATACTAGGTCTGTATTTTTCTTTTTCTGCACTGCACATCAGATTCTCCCTGTCCCCTAAGAGTATTCTAAATTGAGAGTGAAATTAATATTGACTGTCCTCCAAGAACAATAAAGGCTTTAAGTGCTACTTAAAGCTGTGAAAGTGATCTCATGGACTACTTATTGTAGTAAGTCTCACATGAATGACATTAAGGGACATCGGTGAACATGAATGAGCACAATTTGCCAAATACTTTCCTGGGTTGAAGGTTCAATGGCCAACTTTTAGAAACTCCAGTGCAGGACAAGTAATAGGAAAGGCACGAGGTTCTGATCTAACATGATCTATGCTAAACTCTGTCTGATACATTCAAATAGTCACAACATAAACTATATACATGCCGCTATATCCCAGCTAACAGGCAAGGCAATGAGTGGAGTCATTTGTATCTCCGAATTCTCTTGTTTTTGTAAGATTCAGTCTGAGTACATCTCACCAGATTTTTTTCCTGGTTACCTACGTTTCAATCTCTAGCTTTCCACATTCATGTACTTTCAAGGAGATATATACAATACACACACAAACACGAGTGTATGTATATACATATTTATACACATCTATCACTTCCCTCTGCCTACTACCTACCAGCCACTCAGTTCATAAAACAAGAGAGCCACATCATTCCACATTATTCATTCATTCACAAATTAACCCAGTGATAGTTACTTCATCAATGGAAATGCCCAGCGTGTATATATATGTGAAGATGTACAATGAACCACCACCTGTGAAATTTACACTGCAAGTGAAACTAATACACAGTGCTTAACCCTGTGAGAATTAAGGGCCAGGCTCAGGCAGTTTAAAAGACTCTCGCATCAGTGAGGATTTCCGTACCAGCTGAGCAGAGGACATAAACCTATCACTTCACTCAGCTGGGATTGCTGCTTTTAGTATAACACAGAGATGCTGAAAAAATCCTGAGCATTACTTGTACTTAACAGTAGATGTGCAGACTGCCACTGCACTTCATCAAAAGAACGCAGACTGGGTAGGGGTAGCGAGAAGGTCTGACTGATGATCCCAATCTTATTTTACAGCCACAAATAGCCCTGGGCAGGAAGAAAAAGCTGGGGCAATTTGGGAGGAGTGTATGCATATATTACAGAGCTTATATCTGTTCTCACTAACAGAATTTACTTCATTGTTCTTGGACCTCACCCTGAAAACTCCAGCTCCCACTGTATGTCTCCTGCAAAGGGCATAACCAAATTTCTCTCATTAGCTGCTGGAGACAGTTCCAAAAAAGAAAGCTAATAACATTAACCAAGTTGACAAGGTCAAAATGATTGTTTTCATTAAAATATTTGAGATTCTTGGAAAATGGTAGTTATTTGGTTCAAGGATGCGTCAGCTGTTTAGAAAAGACAACATGTCTCTCTTCTGATATTTACATTTGCATTGAAAGGGGCTGAAGCTGAACACCAGCTTACAGGAGACAAAAGGACACAATAT